CCCTAACCCCTAACCCCTAACCCCTAACCCCAAACCCCAAACCCCAAACCCTAACTCTCTCTAACTTTCTCTCTCTAGAATTTTTCTCTCTAACTTTTTTGTTGTTTCTCCCGATTTTCAAACTGTTTCCTTCCAGATTCCATCGATTATGTAATCCCTTTTTGTTATTCGCATGGATCCTCTGATTTCTGATCTAGATCGTCACCTATTTTCGTTGCAATCGGCCCCTGTTGATATTGTCGCTTCTCACGATGCTCAGATTCTTGATGTCGATAAGGTCTGTGAGGTAGTTAATGAAGATTGTGTTTCAATCCCAGATCGATCAAAGGAAACTGTGAAGAAGGATAACGTCGTGAGTTCCTTCAAATGCAGCTCCCTTAAGAAACAATCGCATAGGAAGAAGCCGTATGTGATTCACGACTCTGGTAGGGCTTCCCGTTTAAATTCTGATTTGGGTCATGTTCTTTTGGTGAATAATCGTTTTAATCAGGCTCAATCGATGGAGTATGGTGCGTCTAAATCTGATTTTCATTTGAATTTGGTCAAATCTACTTTGGAATCGGACCCTATTGCTGAAATTTCTCGGCCGACCAATCTGCCTCCTGGTCCTAACTTGAATCCTATGGCTAATCTTTCTTTTGCGATGAGTTTGATCTCCCCTGTGAATTCTATACCTGCTGTGAATTTGGTTAATGTTGTGAACAACTCTGGTTCACTTGATTACATGAGCAATTCGGAACAGTACATGAAGGATGTTATTAATCGATTTGAATCAAAGTCTGATAATGGTGAAGGTGAGCGCAACCTGTCGGGTGCCCAGAATGGTTTTAATGGAGGACTGCAGAATAATGTTATTCAAGGCGTATCAGGGCAAATCAGGGCAATAGACGTTGAGTCTCCTGGTAAAAATCATATGTTTGCTACAGAGGATGAGGTGAAAAATAAGTCTTTGGAGAATCTGTCTTATGAGGATGGCAATAGCCAGAAGGAGAATGAAGGTGAAATTAATGGTAATAGAGATGCTGGAATCACTTCTGGTTTGGGAAGCGGGCCTGATGTTGTTATGTCTGATAATTTGGAGAAACCAATTAAAGATGTTCCTAAAAAGAATTCTGTGAATATGTGGAACTCAAAGGGCTTCACTCTTGCGGATAAGATCAAAGGCAAATCTGATAGCAAGATTGTTTTGAATTATAAACCTCCTGTCCTGTTACAAGATGGTAGGCTGGCCATTCGTTTTTCAAAAGAAGTGATCATTGAAGGTAATAAAAAGAACTCTATGCTTCTGGTGGGTCATTTTGTTGGAGTTAATATGTCATTCTATGTGGTCCAAAACAATTTAAATCGCATGTGGCGAAGATATGGATTGGTCAACGTGGCTTCAAATTATGAGGGCTACTACTTGTTTAAGTTTAATAATGAGGAGGGTATGAAATACATTATTGAAAATGGCCCTTGGCTTGTTAATGGCATTCCTTTGTTTGTGCGTAAATGGGAACCTGGTACCTTTCTTGGGAAGCCAGAATTAATGAAACTTCCCTTATGGGTTAATCTGTATGGTGTGCCTTTGGAAGTGTGGAATGCTCAGGGCCTGAGTGAGTTGGCCAGTGGTATTGGTGTTCCACTCACCCTGGATCGTGCAACTGAGGAACGGTGTATTTCTCAGTCTGGAAGAGCCGGATTTGCCAGAATCTTAATTGAAGTCTCTGCTGATAAAATTATTGCTGATGAAATTGTTGCTCTGGTTCCCTCTTTGGATGGCAATTCAGAAAAAGAAGTAGTTGTCAAAGCTGTCTATAATTGGAAACCTTCCCGTTGTAAGCATTGTAATGTTTTTGGACATGCTTTCTCTGAATATAGCCTTCGTCCTTTATCTGAAGAAGAGAAAGCTGCTAAGTTGATCAGGGAAGAATTAAGAAGTGATCAAAAATCTAGTGATGATGGTTTCCAAATGGTGGGCAGAAGAAATAGGCCAGTTCCTAATAAAGCTAAGATTATGGGTACTCTTCCTTCTCAAGTAGCGGGTACCCAGCAAAACAAGAATTCTAATATGGGCACAAAAGCATGGGTGAGCCAAAGATTCTATCCACAGGGTCAAAGCTCAGTGCCAAAGGGTGGTAAGCAAAGTCAGCAAATCTTGAAATCTAGGCAGCAGAGTAAACAGCAGCAGAGTATTCAAAAAGGGAGTAATGTGGGGTATGTAAAAGTTGGACAGCCTCCAAAAGGGCAAACTGGAAATCAAGTTGGTAATTCTGATAAGGGTAATTTTTCAGCTGCTGGTAAGGTAAAAATGGATTTGAGGGATGGAAAAATGAAGGGTACTTGGCAACTGAAGGAAGCAGGGGCTGTTATAATTCAGGAACAGCTACAGACCACCAGAAATGAGGGGATTTCAAATATGAAAGATAATTCCAAAAGAGGCCAAATTTCCAGAGGTACTAAAGTTGCGGGGTTAAAAAATGATAGTTCTGACATTAAAAAGATGGAGGTTGAAGTTATTCCTGATGTTGTTCCTACTAACAATACTTTTAATGTGTTACAAAACAAGGCTGAGGGCATTGCTTGTGATGAGGGCTTTGAAAGTGATGATGATCAACAATGGTTCTATGACCTGGAAGCTGTCAATTTTTATTTAGAACGCGGTGAAAATCCTCCTGGTGATGTTTTTAGAAACTGGTCAAAGGAACAATCTGACTTTTACATGAAACATGTAAGGCATGAAGATGTCCCTCATAATGATAATGCGCCTGTCTTCATGCATGTTGAGGATGAGGACTTACGAAGGGGTGGGGATAGGTTGGTTAAGCCAAAAAACCTTTAATAATGTTTAAGTCTGCTGTGTGGAACATTAGAGGCCTTAATGAGGTCTCTAAAAGAAATGAAGTGAAAAGGTTAATTGCTGAGAACAATCTTGATTTATGTTCTATTATTGAAACCAATGTGTGCGCAGGAAAGCTTAAGGAGATCTGTGATGGCATTTTTGGTAGTTGGTTTTGGGTCTCAAATAATTCGGTTTGTGCTGGTCGTACCCGAATTATTATTGGATGGAATCCTTTTAAAATTAAAATGGTTTTTCATGAGTTTTGCAGTCAGGTGATTCATGCCCAAGTCCATCTCATAGATGCAAATTTGAAGTTTCATTGTTCTGTGGTCTATGCTGCTAATAATATCATTGATAGAAGGCAATTATGGGATTCTATCATTTTTCATAATCAGTTGGTGAATAATGAAGCTTGGGTGGTCATGGGTGATTTCAATGTTGGGCTAAATCCTAGTGATAGTTCCAGAGGCTCTTCTGTGATATCCAGGGGTATGCTTGACTTTAGAGAATGTTTGAAAGATGTTGATCTGGAAGACATTAATCAGTCTGGGATAAAATTCACATGGGTTCAGAAGCCTATGTCTGATTTGAATCAAAGGGGTCTCCTCAAATAGTTGGATAGAGTTCTTGGTAATCCAAGCTTTGTGGCTGATTATCCGTCTGCGCATGCTTCTTTTCTTCCACATGGGCTCTCTGATCACAGTCCTGCTTTGTGTTCAGTTGTTGGTTCTTCCTCCCTTAAGCCTCGGCCTTTTAAGTTTTGTAATCACTTGACTGACTGTCCTGGCTTCTTACCTTTGGTTGCCAAGGTCTGGGACAGAGTTTTTATTGGTTGCTGCATGTTCTCTGTTGTCTCTAAATTGAAAGATGTAAAAAAAGGGATAAGGAAACTTAATTCTGATCATGGGAATGTGGTTGATAATGTAAAAAAGCTAAGAGTTGAACTTGGCAGAGTTCAATCTGATGTTGATAATAATCCTGAAGATGGTGACTATCGCCTGGAAGAATCTGTTTATTTGAAATCTTTGAAGAATGCTTTAATTGATGAAGAACGATTTCTGAGGCAAAGAGCTAAAGTCCATTGGTTAAGGGATGGTGATGCTAATACGGCATATTTTCACAAAGTGGTTAAAAGCAGAATTAATACGGGCAGAATTGATGAAGTTGAGGATATGATGGGGAACAGATTTATGGGGGCTGCTGTTGCGGACCAATTTGTCTGTCATTTCAAGAGTATATTTGGCACTTGTGAGAATGTTGAAAACATTGCTGATCCAAAGTCTCTTTTTACAAAAAAGCTTTCAAAAGAGCAAGCTGATTTCATGGTGAGACCTATTGAGAATAAGGAAATAAAGGATGCCTTGTTTGATATTGATGAAGATAAAGCCCCTGGACCGGATGGTTTCTCTTCTCGATTTTTCAAAAAAGCTTGGCCTATTATTGGTAAGGAAGTCTGTGATGCTGTTCAACAGTTCTTCTTCAATGGAAAACTCTTGGGTGAGGTCAATGCTACTGTGATCTCGCTTGTCCCAAAAAGTCAAACCCCTAAGAATGTGGCTGATTTTCGTCCTATTGCATGTTGTAACGTCATCTACAAATGCATTAGCAAAGTGTTGGTTGGAAGAATTAAAGATTCTCTGGATTGTATTGTGGACCCTAATCAATCTGCTTTTATCCCTAATAGGCAGATTAGTGACAATATTCTGCTGGCCCAAGAGCTAATGAGAGGTTACCATAGGCAAAGGGGAATGAGAAGATGTGCGTTTAAAGTTGATATACAGAAAGCGTATGATACTGTAAATTGGAAATTCTTGGACTCTATCTTAAAGAATTTTGGCTTTCATCCTTGCATGGTGGCTTGGATTATGAAGTGTGTCTCTTCTGCTTCTTTCACTATTCGAGTTAATGGTGTTCATCATGGCTTCTTCCCTGGTATGAGAGGAATCAGACAAGGTGACCCTCTTTCACCGTATCTTTTTACGTTGGTTATGGAGATTTTGATGTTACTTGTTAAAAGGAGTATTTTTGAGAATGATGATTTTAAGTTCCATCCAAAGTGTGAAAAACTGGCTTTAACTCACTTGTGTTTTGCGGATGATTTACTTATGTTCTGTCATGGTGATGTTTCCTCTGTGACTGTTTTGAAGAAGGCTTTGTTAGAATTTGGAAGAGTTTCGGGTTTAAAACCAAGTATGGAGAAAAGTACCTCTTATCTGGGTAATGTTGTTGGCCTTAACAGAATGGAGATTTTAAAAGTGTTACCTTTTAAATTGGGATGTCTTCCGGTAAAGTATTTAGGGGTCCCTCTGTTGTCTACTAAATTGTTCCACAAGGATTGTTTGGGGCTCATTGATAAAGTTCGAAGAAGGATTGGGGATTGGAAAAACAAATGGCTGTCATTTGCGGGGCGTCTTCAACTCATTAACTCTATTTTATCGTCCATTAGTGTCTACTGGGCGTCAATGTTTTTACTTCCTATTTCAGTTGTGAAGGAGATTGAAAAGATGATGCGAGGCTTTTTATGGAACAAGGGTGACTTGGAAAGAGGGAAAGCAAAAGTTAATTGGAAAACGGTTTGTCTTCCAAGATCTCATGGTGGGCTGGGAATCAAGGACTTAAGAAACTGGAATAAGGCCCTCTTAGCTAAACACATTTGGAAATTGATTGAAAAAGGAGATTCGCTATGGGTTAAGTGGATTCACGAATATCGCTTGAAAGGAAGGAATTTTTGGGAAGTGGGTGAAGTTCATGATGCTACATGGTTTTGGAGGAAAGCTATCCGGATTAGAAATAGCTTTAGAGAGCATATTATTCATCAGTTAGGTGATGGTGGTGATACTTCTCTTTGGTATGATTTTTGGCATCCTGTGGGTCCTCTTTGTAATTTAATCCCTAAAAGAGAAATCTACTCTGCAAGGATGGATCTGAAGTTGAAGGTCAGAGATGTTGTCATAGATGGTTTATGGTCATGGCCTATGGAGATATGGAACAAGTATGGGGAAATTCTTCAATTATATTTGCCTACTCTTATTGAGGGAACCAGAGATAAAGTTCGGTGGAAAAACAAGAAGGGTGTTCCTTCTGAGTTTAGCATTGCTACTGTTTGGAAGGATATCAGAGTTGAGGAGAGTCCGGTGAATTGGGCTCAATTGGTTTGGTTTTCTCATGGGGTTCCTAGGCATGCTTTTATTCTATGGCTTGCGATTAGGAACAGCTTAAGAACAAAAGACAGAATTGGATCGTGGTCCTTGGATATTGACCCTAAATGTGTAATGTGCAAAGATGGGTTGGAGTCACATACTCATATGTTTATCTCTTGTCAGTATGTTAAAGAGATTTGGAATATTCTGGCAGATTTTGGGGGTATTGGTGATCTCCAGAGAATCTCTAAGATTAATAACATGAGCTGGGATACTTTTGTGATGCAAATATGCTCTAATTCTTTCAATAATTCGATTTGGAGCATTTTTCAGAGGCTCATTGTTGCTGCTGTGGTTTACTTTATTTGGCAAAAGCGTAATTTCAGATTACATCATGGAAAGGAGAGGACTGCTGCTATTTTGGCCAAGCAGATCATCTCGACTGTAAAATTAAGATTGCTGGGTATGAAGGTTAAAAACAATTCTCAAACGAGAAGGGCTGCTTCCATGTGGAATCTTAAAATGGGTGATGATGGGTTTATTGCTTTGACCTCTTATGTCTGATATGATGTGCATCATTTGGAACCTGGTGGATTTGTGGTTTGGAGTGCCTCTCAGATGGTTTGGGGTTCAGGGGATGTTGACAAGTATGCTTTCTATTGGAGATGGTTATTGTTCTTGCCTCTATTACTTTCTCTGGCCTATGAGTGTTTTCCTTCCTGTGCTGAAATTGTTTGTTATGAGGAAGCTCTCTTTTAAGAGTATTGTTAGAGTGAGAATCGTCAACATTTATGAGATCCTTTGGGGTGGGTTCTATTCGGGGGGTGCTTTGGGATACACCTGGGATACACATGGGTACTCTTGGGGGGGGGGGAAGGGTCCAATTAATTTCTTGCAGGTACGTCTTCATTTTTGCTTTTGGGATTCTTGGGTTGGGTTTCGGGGATGATGTTACAAGGGAGTGCAGGGTAGAGGAGATAGGTTTAT